AAAAAAAAAAAAAAAAAAAAAAAAAAAAAAAAAAAAAAAAATGCAGAAACCCTAAACCCTAGAATATAAAACAGAAACAGAAATAAATAAATAAACCATTTCAATCGATGGGTGATAAAACACAAACCCTAAACCCTAAACCCTAAACCCTAAACCCTAAACCCTAGAAGAAACAGAAACAAAGAAATAAAATATTTCAACCAATCCAAACGCCCGTTAGAATATAACAAAAAAAAAACACAAACCCTAAACCCTAAACCCTAAACCCTAAACCCCCAAAAAAAAAACCACCACCACCCCCCTCCCCCTCTCCCTTCTCCCCTTCCCCCTTCTCCCCTCTAAACCCTAAACCCTCTCCCCTCTAAACCCTAAACCCTAAACCCTACTTCTGCAGAATGAAACTTGCAGTATTGAAATATAGGGTTTGTATTTGGCCCATTAACACAAGACAAAGCAAAGACAGGAAAGTCAACGCCGAGCTGCCTATACACCCCACACACTCTGTCTTCGTCTCGCTCCTCTTGCTCTCTAAACTGTAGGGTGGGGAACGCCAGGATCTGTATACATAAATATAAATAAATATAAATAAATATAAATATAAATATTAATATAAATATAAATAAATAAATATAAATAAATAAATAAATATAAATAAATTTATGTATTTATATAAAGGTAAATGGGTTGTTTTGCTCTCTAGACTCAAGGGTGGGGAAGGCTAGGATCTGTATAAACAAATATAAATAAATAAATAAATAAATATAAATAAATAAATAAATATAAATATATGAATATAAATATATAGATATAAATATAAATAAATAAATATACATAAGTATATAAATAAATAATATAAATATAATAAAAGGAATAATATAAATGCACGGAGATAGATATATTTATTGTGATGCTGATGCTGCTTCTATTACTGCTGCTGCTGCTGCTGCTGCTGCTGCTGCTGCTGCTGCTGCTACTGCTGCTGCTGCTGCTGCTACTGCTGCTGTTACTGCTGCTGCTACTGCTGCTGCTACTGCTGCTGCTACTCTACTCCTACTGCTGCTGCTGCTGCTACTCCTGCTGCAACTCCTGCTCCTGCTGCTGCTACCGCTACCGCTGCTGCTACTGCTGCTGCTGCTGCTACTCTACTCCTACTCCTGCTACTACTACTACTACTGCTGCTGCTACTGCTGCTACTGCTGCTACTGCTGCTGCTGCTGCTGCTGCTGCTACTGCTGCTACTCCTACTACTCCCGCTGCTGCTACTGCTGCTGCTGCAGCAGCAGCTGCTGCTGCTGCTGCTGCTACTGCTACTCCTACTACTACTGCTGCTGCTACTGCTACTCCGACTACTACTGCTGCTGCTACTGCTGCTGCTGCTGCTGCTGCTGCTGCTGCTGACCTCGAAACCCTGTGGCCCGAATTCTTGTTTAAGCAGCAGAAAATCATTTATATGTTGTTTTGTGAATCCGCATTTGGTTGCAGTGTTGGTGATAAGCAAAACTTTATTTTTATATTTATTTAATTTTATTTCTTCTTTGTTTGCTGCTGTTGCTGCTAGAGAGTATATATCCATTGACGAAAGAGAAACAGATAAAGGAGAAGAAGGAGCAGCACATGGGCCCCTGCGCCACGCTGAAAATAACCACATCGTTCTGCTGCTGCTGCTGCTGCTGCTGCTGTTGCTGCTGTTGCTGCTGCTGGTGGTGGTGGTGGTGGTGGTGGTGGTGTTGCTGCTGCTGGTGGTGATGGTGTTGCTGCTGCTGCTGTTGCTGCGGTGGGAGAGAGGGTCGTGAGGGTGAAAGCGGTATTGAGATGCTGCTGAAGCAGCAGCAGCAGCAGCAGCAGCAGCAGCAGCAGCAGCAGGAGCGGTGTTAGTAGCTGCAGCAGCAGCAGCAGCAGCAGCAGGACTGCGAATGAGGTTCAAAGGAAAAGAAGGAAAGAGAGAAAAAGAAGAAAGAGAAAGAGATATAGTTTTTGTTTTATTGGTGATGGTTGCTGCTGCTGCTGCTGCTGC